AAATAGTACAATGTCTTCTTTGGGAAAAACAGTTACTACTCTGGAAAAAGATTGAAGAAGTGATGTTTCTTGCTGGCTTTTCACTCAAGGATCCATTGTACATGGTAGGAATCACTTAACACACTTATATTGATCTTAGTCATGCATATTATTAAATAAAACTGAACAATGGACACCAGACCCTGTGAAAATCTCTGGCAGCATTCCAGTTTCCTTTATTCAAAAACCACAGAAATTAATAGTCAAATAATAACTGACCTGGAATCATTGATATATTTTTTACTTCAAAGAGTAAAATCTGCAAGATTTTAAAGTAACTTTTCCTTCTTAGTTTCCTTGCTTAATGTTTGACAATGTATTTGTTCTATGTGCACAGCATTGATTAGAAGAGTCATGATTGATAGAGGGCTGAGACAATCCAAAAAAATCAGTCTGTCTTTTTTCCATTAGTAGTCAATGCTACACTTCACTTCATAACAAAACTATTATGGATTAGCCAAAATTATTATTGATCTTCTATGTCATTTGTTAGGCCTTTCATTATAACATTAAGTTCTAATAAAGGTTTGCCTCTGTTTGGTAAAGGATTCTGGGACTCGCTAGGGCATGACCATGGCCAGAGGCAAGTCACTTGGCCAGCTCTTTGCTTGTTGGAATGCCTGATCATCAAACTGTCTAATGACAGTTAACTGAGTGATATGGTCATACAAATGGGTTACTGTTATAAAATAGAGGGAATTTATTATAGGGTGATTCAAATTAATCTGTATGTCAGTTCAAATAACTATACTGATGGAATTTACTTACTTTTGTCATCTTAAAGACTGAAACCTATGGCAATCAAATCTGCTTCAGTTGTAAAGAACATACTTATTGAGTTGTATGCATAAGCTCTTAAAATATCAGTACCAATTTGTATATGTTTTAAAATTATGTACCTGGAAGTCTTTAAAAATGCAATTTTGTGAACACAGATTAGTCGATATTCATTAAATATTGAGTATCCATGATGTGCAAGAAAGATATTGTTTTGAATTCCATAATATGTATTGAGTTTGAGGGGGCAGTATGATGCAATGAAAAGAGTTATGGTCTTTGTGAAGTTGTGAGTTGGAATGAAAGTTATGCCATTTATTAACCATGTGACTCTGAACAAGTCACTCACAACCTACCTGAGCCTCACTTGTTCCTATGTTAAGTAGGAAAAATAATGCTTATCTTATATACCTCTTATGGTTGTTGAGAGGAAATCCCCTTTATGGAAATACTATGGAAACCTGTGTGCTTAGCTAAAATGAAAATACTATATGAACTTAATTTATGAGTTCTTCCAATAATTGAGGCAGCCCTGGACTAGTGCATAGAAATCTAGCCTTAAAGCCAGATAATGTCTGGGTTCAAATGTTTTCTTTTTTTTTCTTTCTTCTTTTTTTTTTTTCTGAAACATAGTAGGTGCATAATAAATGCTCCTTGGCTTGATTTCTGGTCCCACCTCTGATATATACTGGTGTGGGACCCTGGGCAAGTCACTTAACCTTTTACTGCTCTGGGCAACTAAGACCTAAAGTTACAGTAGAAGTGCCAGCCTTCATTAGCAAGAGGGAGTTTCATCATCTGATCTTAAGGTCTATTCCTGATTCTTGTCCCTATCCATTAATTATTACTCTTCTGATTCCCAAATGATGGAGATAATGCCTAAAAAGAAGAGTTAGTTTACAGGAGAAAGTAAGATGCAAATAAACAAGGTATGGACATAGACATTCTTAAATAGTTTAAATTACTGAATAGTAAACAAATTATATTAGTGGTAAACAAAATCAAACAATAAATTGCAATAAAATTCCAGAGACCACATTTTTAAAACTAAGTAAATTAAAACCTCTATTTATAAGAAGTAGCAGTAGTCTTGTCATTTTAAACCAAACCTATTGAAAACAGAGATATTTTCATGTGTCACGAAAATACTAAAATAGTAAAATTAACAGAAAGCAACCTTCATGCTTTCTATAGAGAACCAGACATAAAAATATAATATTTCTAAATTTCTTAACCAGAAAATTATGTTATCTAGTTATAAAAACTGGTATTGAGTTATCTAATTTTTATAACTTAAGTTAAATGAATTCTTTGAGAAAATGATGTTGGCTTTTAACAACCCTTTATTTTAGCAATTATTGTATTAGTAATACTATGGACTTTTCTATGCATACTCAAGAAGGTATTTGGATATTCTGTTGTGTACCCTTCACTATCCATGGAATTTAGTTAGTAAGTTCATTGAGTGAATGGACTCAGAAGCAATGAATTCAGAAGAGTGGGATGCAATACTGCAATAATGCTTATGTAATCTGTCACATTATCAAAACTCTTTCAAGGCATGGCACCCTGGATGAGTAAGTGTCATTTATTCCTTCAAAGACTTTTAGTCACTTACATATGAATCTTTAATGTTTTATGTGTACCTTGGAAAATGTATTTTCCTACTCAATTTGTAATATTCTCAGGGAGCTAGAAGCCAACAAAATTAACATGGAAAAATATGAAAAAGGAAAAATAAGGATTAAAAAGTATGTTGTAGCCTTTGAGCTATATCAAGCTAATTTATATACTAAAACTAAATAATATGAGGATGCTTACCAAAATATGTCTAGATGTAGAGCATTAGGTCCAATTAAGTAGACAGTAATTCTCTTTGACTATTACAGTCGAAGCGTCATTAAAGAAAATACCTTTATTTCCACCAATCATATCATACCAACTACCAACCATTTGTCTTTTTTTAAAAAAAACTATATTCTCTCATTGATCACTGTATCATATATGCAGATCCATACCTGGTTATTTTACAGCATTATTTTACAAATAAAATTATTACTAGCACTTAATAGGAATATTTGGACTATCCCTTCAAACAATAAGGAAAATCTCTTAGTGAGGAAAAATCATTTTTATTTTTAAGGAAATAAAGTCATCCCTGTCTCCCACCTCTCAGAAATCTTTACCATGACTAATGAAAAGAAGTGCCAGATTTTTTCCAGAGAGCTCTGATGAAAGTAATGCAGGTATTTCTGTTGTGTATTCTTCCACATAACTATCTCACTTAAAAAAAAATTGACTCCTTTGGTTAGTTTCCTCTCAAAATCCTTTCTATTAAACTATGTACCTCTACATTCCCTTATATTATTTAACTTTAGAATTAATAATATGTCACTAATATTGTTTCCTGCATCAGTTAAACATATACTGGGAGAAAACTGAATCCAGTCTTAGTTTTTATTCAAGGAATATGAGTAAAACAAACCCTAGAATAGATAGAATGCAGCACCTTGAATGAGTAGTTTCATTAAAAACAACAGATCTACTATGAATCAAGGAATCTGGGTTTTTTTTTAGACTTAGGATGTCATTTGTCTAGAATTCCAGGTACTCTCTGCAACCTGATCCTCTACAAGATAGAGAAAGAGCCAACAGGAGCAGAGCCAAACAGTATAGCAAGGATTGGGGGCATCTGTAAAATCACCAAAATGGGGCCTGAAAAACATCTATTCTATATGAATCAAAAATAAATGAAAAATTTTGTTAAATAATTAATGTATATTCAGTCAAATGTTCAGTTAACAAATATCAATACATAACTCTATACCCTATGAAGGAAAATGATAGCAGTGAATGTGAAGGTGAAGGTTAAGAGGGTTGCAGAACACTTTTCAAAAGATACATTCATGGAATTGCCATACAATCACTGCCCTAGTTTTTCTTTTAGGTATATCACCTACCAGGATTTCATAGGTAAAATGATGCCATGCAAACAGCATGTTCCCGTTTTAGGTATTTAGTTAAAACATTTCATCAGTAGAAAAGATTTTAACCTTCTTAGGATACGGAGGGAACAAAATATAGAGGAATAAAGAGAGGAGAGAGAGAGATGCTGTGGAAATCTGTTTTGAGGTGATGATCCATGGAGAAGCAAAGATCCAAAAAGCAGTAGGAAAAGAGAATCAAAAGAGCAGGAAAGAGGAAGGTATTTCCTTATTTCAATTAATTAAACAGCATTTTGGGTTTTCCCAGACCAAGAAGACTTTTCATCACTAACTTCCTAATGATATTTCCGGTTAGCAAAATGTTCACCTTTGGGAGGCACCATATTTCGCTAAGAATGAGCGAGAAAAGAAACAGATTGACCAATCCTTACTTGCCACAGATTTTACCCCCAAATCTGCAAATGGCTCCATCTTAAATGTTTTATAGAAGAAACATTTCCTGGGATTGCTAAATTATAGTTTCAATCCTCATAATAAATTTTTGAGAGACAGAGTCAGAGACAAAGACAGAAACAGAGATAAAGACAAGAGACACGAAGAGACAGACTGTCAGAAACAGAGACAAAGAGATAGAGATTTAAGATGGAGAGAGACAGAAAGATACAGACTGAAAAAGGAACAGAGAGAGTCAGAGAAATAGATACTAAGAGACAGCCAGATTGACATACAGAGAATGACAGACAGGTAGACTACGCATAATAGAACAGAGTATGCGTATGACCCATAAGGTTACGAGAAAGAATGGGGGGGGCATAGATTAATAATCAGGATAGCCTCCTTTGGTAGCTAGTTTTAAAAGACAGGGGTAATTTGGTTGAAGCTGACGCAACTCAAGTTTGGAAATGGGAGGGGAGGAAGGTGAGAGGGAAGTTCTAGGTCTAGGACTTAGTCTCCTAATTGAGGTTGAGAGTAAGGTACCGCCAGGAAACGCTGGATGCAGAACTCCCCTCTGATGCTCGTACCTGGCAGGTCAGAAGCAGGGAACCAGCCCAAGGTGATAGAAAAAAGCTTCAAGCTCTCCTTCTCTGCCACTATCTAGTTCCCAAGTGCTGTCCCCTCAGCTGCACCCGCCCCCTGCCCATGCAGGGACTCTCTCCTACCCCAAAGATAGCCCTGTGGGGCTTTCGCCCCCCCCAGCCTCTGCCTCCCTCAGCCTCCTTCTCCGTCCTCCCTTCTTACCTGGCCCTTCACCAGGCTGGCAGCGAACTGCCTCATGACAGCCTCGACTGTGTAGGCGCTGGACCAGCCCCGGGGGGTGAGCAACTCCATGCAGATGGCTCCCCCGTCCAGCACATAGCCGTTCTCCAGCCGGGGGCTGAGCACCCGCATGAAGGGCGGCGAGAAGGGGAAGTTGTCAGGGAAGGTGAGGTTGAGCAGGATGAACTCTGTGTTGGTCTCTTTCATGTCCTGCCACAACACCGAGTCCTTGTCCACCTGGTGCAGCTTCACATTCCAGTCGTAGAGGCTCTCGTCCACCAGCTCTACCGAGATGAAGCGATCGCTCAGCCTGGAGATGTCCTGGAGCTCCTTCATCAGCCGCCGGCTCCTCACCTGGGTACCCGGCTGCCCCCGCCCCATCGGCGCCAGGCTGCTGGCTGCCGGGGTCTGGGCCACCTGCGAGGATCCCTTCCCGCCTCCGCCCCCGCTGCTGCGGCCGCCGCCCCCGCCCTGCTGCTTGGATTCCTTGGTGGACTGGTTCTCCCTGGCGCTCGCCTGCTTCTCCTTGTGGCCCCCGGAGCTGGGCTGCTGCTGTTGCTGCTGCTGCTGCTGCTGCTGCTTGTCCTTGTTGGCCAGCTCCAGCGCTCGCTTGTTCTTGGAGTGCCCCGGGCTGCCTTCGCCGCCGCCGCCGCTGCAGCCGCCCCCTCCTCCCGGAGCATTCTGCGGCTGCTGCTTGTTACTGTGGTTCTTCTGGTTGCCTTTGCCCCTCAGCGAGGAGCCGCCGCCGCCACCGCCGCCGCCGCCGCCGCCGCCGCGGCCGTGCTGGCTGCTGCTGTGGAGATGGTTGTGGTGATGTTTGGGGTCCTCCGTGTCCCGGTTGTGCAGCCGGATGAGCCCGATTTTCCGGAGCAGAGTGGCCATCTTAATCTTCTTCTTCCGTGGCTCGGGCGAGCCGGGAGAAAAGCACCCCTTCTTTCCTAGATTCTGGCGACTGACTTGACTTCTTCCCCGGCTGCCGACCTGGAGCGAACCGCCCCAGCAGCGTACTCCGCGCTAACCCAGTGAAGCAGGAGAGGATGAGGGGAAGAGAGGCGCACACACGGCGCCGCGCGGAGGGGCGGGGACGCGGGGCTGGAGGACAGGCGGGCTGCGAGAAGCTGGACGTCTGGCTGCTTTGGCGGCCGCCGCCGCCGCCGCCGACGCTGCTGTAGGACAACTTGCTTCTTTTTCCTTCTGCTTTCTGCCAGCCGGTCAGGAAAGCGGCTCGCGCGGCGGGGGCTTGGGCGCCGGGGGAAGAAAGCTGGAGCGGAGGCTCCTGGGGCTGCGCAGGAGATGGGGGCCGGCTGTGACGGCTCCCTCAGAGGCTGCCTCTCCCCACACTCAGAGCTGGCAGCATTGCAGCATCTGAGCTAGCAGGACAGGCTTTCTTCAGGTTATTTATTACCACGGTCATATGATTATTCCTCTTCTCTCCTCCCTTCTATTTCTTTCCCCCTTCTGAAGGGAGAGATAGAGGGGGCTGCTGTACCGCAAGCGAGGAGTCTCCTTCCCTCTCGGGGCACTCAGAGGTTGATCAATAGCTGAGCAGCCTAGGCAGGAAGGAAGATGGGGGCGAGGGGTGAAAAGGGGTTTGGGGACAGAGTGTTGCTCAGTGGGGGGGGGCTGCGACGGGGGTGGTGGCGGCAGATATAGTCTTGATGTATCCTAGTCTCTCCAGCGGCTATGAGCAGGTTTCCCAGTTCCTAATTCCTGATTCTTCTTTGTTGTGCTATCCTCAGGCTCTTCACGGGCTTCTGAGAGAGCAGGTCTCGAAAGTGAGCGAGCTGGAGGACTGGAGAGAGACTGCGGGCAAGCACTGCCGTGGGGGGTGTTGGGTGGGAGAGAGATTCCGGGGCTGTTCTCCCTCCCCCCTGCAAAGTCGTGCCTCGTTCTGAGGGGTGTCCTCCGGGACAGCCAGACTCCGGGGCTCACGCTGTCTCCTGGATGAAAGGAGGAGATGGGCAGTTAGGGTGGCTAATCTCAGCCCCAGGGGCTGCCACTTTCCTCCAGGGAGCCTAGCTGCGTGTGTACCGGCTTCTCGGTTCTAACCAGGATCTTCCCTGCTTCTACTGAGCCGCCGCCGCTGCCGCTGCCGCTGCAGCTGCTGCTGCTGCTGCCGCCGCCGCCGGTGCGGCTGCTGACATTGCAGAGGCAGCAGCTCTGCCTGTGCCCTGTGCAGCGCTGAGGCGGGGGCACTATAGAGGCAGGGGAGGGGAGGAAAGCGGAGGGAGGAGCAGGGAGGGAGGAGTCCTTCAAGTTGCAGTTCACATATAGGCTGCCTCCCGTCAGCGGTAGCAGGAGTAGCAGCCGTCAACATGCCATGCCAATCCATCCCATACCATCCCATCTCATGCCATTCCATTCCATCCCATCCCACCATCGCCAGCACCACCAACAATACAGTCGCCGACTGGAGGAGAAGGAAAATGTGTCCCTCAAAGTGCTTTATTACTTGGTGCGCTGCATCCCCAACCGAACCACTCAATCCCGAGCCTAACCCGAATCTCCTTAGAAGAGATAACAGGGGCAGGTCGGACAGTTAAGAAAAACTTGATAACTGCAGTTCCTCCAAATCCTGGAACACAATAGAAACCTTCTACCTGGAGAGGGGAGGGGTGGTGGTGATGGGGAGCAGGGAGTGAGAGTGGAGGTCTGCTGTGAAAGGAATAGAGAATAATGCAGAGTAGAAGACCTCGGCTCTCCAGCGGTTCCCAAGATCATAGCATTGAACTTCACTTAACCTAATTAGAAAAATCAGAAAGGGAAAGGCGTATCGTGAGAGGACTTAAACAACCTGTTTATCGACTCCCCCTTTCATGCGGTGCAATATAGTCCTGGATAACATGTTCAATGGTCCCAAATTATCCGGGGGGGGGGCGGGGTAGAGACACTGAAAATAGAGTTTAATGAAAATTGAGTAAAGAATCAATTGGTTCGGACCGGAGAATGAATATGCTGGGAAGTGTGTCTACCACAATTATATTAAATAAAATCTCTTTCAAGTAATTACTTGATGAAATAAATGTTACAGGAATTCGTGTCCCTGCCCCCATCTCATGCTGCGTCCTGAAGAGATTTGCACTGTTTTCTGAAGATTAGTCCAGCGATTGGGAAGGTACTGCTAGACATTTCATTGTAAGCCGTTTCAGAAAGACTGAAGAAAGCAAACTAACAACGGACTCCTCTGATAAATGCACATCATCAGACTAAGGTTTAGAACCATTAAATGAACCCTTTTGATCTGAGTAACACATTTCTAGAAATTTTGGACACATGCTTCTCCGCTTCTAATATGTCTGCTGCTCTTAGTTTATTAAATCTTATTTTTGTCCACTGGAATTTCAGGTATGTATTGCATTTTTATAGGTAGTTGAAGATTCCCAGTAAAATGGAAGAATATCTAGGAAATCTCCAGATATATCTCCAATATTTTCACAAGTACCCAATGCATGTCACATTGCCTATGCACCAGTCTGCTTAACAAAATTACTTAATAATGAACTACAATACTAACGATTGAAGCATAGTACAGGCAGTGTCATAGAGAGCAAATAGGATTAGAGGTCCAAATTCTATTAGGATTTTCACAGTTTGTGGAAGATGGACTATAAATAAATTACTGTAATATAATATTGGTTTCTTAAGTGCTATGACATCGTTTTTTTAAAACCTTGTTACTATTTTCACTCCCCCTCCCCAAATTATTTAAAATAGCCAACTCCCCAGACTAGCTGATCAGGTCACTGCAAGAGGCCATGCAAATATGCAAATCTTAAGATTCCGTGTTTCGGTCTTTTCAAGCATTCTAAAATAAGATATAGTCATCATCGTTTTAGTTAACTATCAATGACATAATTTAAAAACATTTATCAAGTACCCAAATGTGTCATAGTCAAAGAATTGCATTTCCTATTTGTTCTTCAACCTTGAACATTTTATAATCCCCCATTAGATTGTAAACTCCTTGAGGGCTGGGATTGTTTTTTACTTCTTTTTGTATCTCCAGCATTTAGCACAGTGCCTGAAACATAGTAGGAGATTCATAAATGTTTATGAATTGATTGATAATCCAACTCATTATAATTCATTATGTTGTAATTAGCCATAATGAGCCCCTGGCTAAGCAGAACATACCTGAAACAGTGCCTGTCTACCATGAATTTACATCTCAATGCGGCCGTCATACCTAGAAATATGCAAATATATCAATGGCATATATCCATCCTCCAAATCATTTAAAATAATTTTTTGATACCATTTCCTTTTCACATCACAGTCATTTCTAAACCAGTCAACTGCAAAGCACTGACCCCTTCCTTCTAACAACAAAAATTAAGCAACACCAGTCACAGTTACCACACCTGATAACGTATACAAAAGTTTGCATCCATAATCATATACTTTGCCTAGAAAAGGGAAGTTTATTTTTCATTATCTATTCTCTAAGACCGAGATTGGTCATTACAATTAGAGTTACATTTCTTTTAGAATTCTTTTTTGTCAACATTATTGTAGTTCTATATATTCTCTTGGTTCTGTTTACTTCACTCTGCATCAGACTGTATAGGTCTTCCCATTTAAAAAATAATTCTTCATAACCATCAGAATTATATCCAGTTCTTTGCTACCACAAAATGCTGACAATCAGTTTTATAAGATGCTGTCCCTCCACTGGCCTCTGTATTAAAGGGTTCACCAATTTAGATTTGAGGTGATACATTACAAATAAGATTTTAACTGTGTGGTTGTTAAACTAACTTGCTTGTGATACTTCATATTCTTAGATGCTTTTCATTTATGTATTCAATTAACAAACACATCTTCAGTGCCCTGATGGAGAAAAAAGGAAAGCAAGCCAGCACTATTCTTAAAAGAAATAATTTCTATAAAACATAATCATAATTTATCAGAGTTGGAAAGGATGTTAGAGATCCTCCAGTAAAACTCGTGCATAAAACAAAATTCTGAAACATGCTGACATATTACATGATGTGTCTTTATTTCAGTTCATACTCTGAGTCCTTTTTTTTTTAAAGGCTATTGGGGCTAAGTGACTTGCCCAGGGTCACACAGCTAGTGCCAAGTGTTTGGTCTGAGGCTGGATTTGAACTCAGGTCGTCCTGACTTCAGGGCCCGTGCTCTATCCATTACTCCACCTAGCGGCCCCATGAATACTTTTCAAAGAGTCACTAAGACACAAAGTACTATTATGTATCAGGTTTAGGGTTCAGTCTCTTTCTCTTTGACCGTTAACTTACTCTCTCAGGAAAAAAGTCCTCATAGTTCATTTCTCTTTGTGCCTTACATAGTCTCTCTTAACTTGGCAGTTAACTCTCTGCAGATGATAATTAAACTATCTCAACTCAAGATTTTATTTCCTCTTACAACACAGCAACAATATCTAAGTCACTGTGAGAGGGGTTTTTGAAGGTGAGGTTACAATTATATCATACCTTTTTTCAGATTATCTTAAATATATCTACCCAGCATTATTCTCTTATTCCAGAAGAGACATATTCTTTCAGTATTATTCTCTTAGTAGCAGACCTAAACTCCAGCAAGATATTTTTCTCAGATGGTTCAGGATTTATCCAATTTAATTTTATCAAATTAAATTTAATTAAATTTATCCAATTTAATCTGACATATAGTTATTAATTGTTTACTGTGTGCTAGGCACCACAAGTCTTTTTTTTTTTTTTGCTTTTAGGCAATTGGGATTAAGTGACTTGCCCAGGGCCACACAGCTAGTAAGTGTCAAGTGTTTGGTCTGAGGCCACATTTGAACTCAGGTCCTCCTGACTTCAGGGCCAGTGCTCTATCCACTGCGCCACCTAGCTGCCACCTAGCTGCCCCCTACAACAGTAGTCTTTAACAGAACCTTGGAATTAGCTATAGTATTGGTGTAAGTGGAGGGCTGGTCATGGAAGGCCCAGTTCTTCCACCATCTGCAGTTTTGCCCTTCCTGCTGGTAGATAGAGTGTTTATCACATTTTCTCCCTGGTTCCAGTGCAGCATGTGGAAGTTTCATCTGGGATAAGCTTTGGATCCTTTGCATTTTCATAGATCTATTAAAGCAGTTTTCCTCCCAAGACTCCTTATTGTTTACCCTAGTTTTCAGTATCTGCTAGAGAAAAATTAACATTTTTTCTCCTTTGTTTTAGAGTATAATTTTACAGCTTTCTGATGTTTTTCCTTCCAAGTCAGAACAATTCCATTGTGGTAACTTTTGCTTATTTGAATGATTAAGTGTTAATATCTCTCTATCCATTTGTTTAACATTACTTGTTGCCTTGTAATTTACCTTGAGCACAGTAAAATAGCTTATGTGTTATTTTTTTTTCTTTTCCATTTCAAACAGATCTAGGCTGCTTGCCTTATTGTGAGATACTTAATTTACTCCAGGTCCATAGTTCACTCACTGGCCTCAAAATCCTTATTATCAACCCTAAGTGATAATACCTTTGTGAAACCCCACATGTGGTTAGGGCTTACCTGATCATGTTTTTTTCTTCTTCTTCCAACTTATTCTACTTTTCATATCATCCAGTAAATTTGGAATTCCATTTGAATTGCCTTGCAGTTGAGATTCATTGGAGAAATTTAGTGCCTCCTCTGGTATAGTAACTCAGAGGAAATCTGTTTGAATATCCAAGGGGGATTACCCATGGTACAGGAACTCCTGGAGGAATTTTATTGTGCTCCCTGTGAAAGATGACTTGAAGATTTTTGACTGGACCTCTAGTTGAATTCCATATATTTCTTAGATCTTTGGAAAAAATTTGCATGTCCTAGAGCATATTAAGGACTCAAGGGGCATTAGTGTGTCCAATGTGGGAAGGAATACCTGGATATTTTCTCTGAACCTCCATTTGGATTCCTTCTGTAATTCATGGATCCCTAGAGAAAATTTGGATGTCCCAGGTTGTGAGAACCCAGAGGAATTTTACAGGATTAAACTTGGTCTGGGAGTAAAAGGCCCAAACTAGTGGCATGTACTAGAAGAGAGAATGAGTTCTTCAAATCCACTCCCCACTCTCCACTTTCAATGCTGATTTTTTGTAACACTTGGTAGTAGATTGAGTATTATTTTATAAGTAACAAGACAAATCGTTTTTGTTTCTTACTAGTCAACCTTAGGTCCTAAATCTTTT